GTGCACCTCTAATGTAAAGCTTGTCGTGTTACATTGTGGGTGCCAGTTTCATTGCCTGCCTATCTTGGAAGAGTGCATGCTCCCTGAGGAAGGGGCTATGTTTCAAGTCTCTGTATAGATGCAACACATAGCACAGGGCCTGGAACCTAATAGGCACTCAGTGGATACATATGACATGAATGGCTGGATTAGTGGATAAATCTGAAACGAATTTAAGAAGGGCAAAACATCATACATAGAAGGACAAGCACATGCCATAGGCTCAAGGAATGAGAGTTATTACTGCAGGGGATTGGGAGGGTTCCTGGCTGAACAAGACGTGGAAGCTAAGCCTTGGAGCCTAGGTATGACACAGATGTGTGTGTGGTATGGTTATATGTATAGATAGGGAAACATGGGACAAGAGGGAGGAGGGCAGGGTGAACAGGTGCAAACCTAGAGAGCTCCTCAAGTTATTTGTGGTGCAGGTTACCTGAAGTCCACATGTGGGAGGGAGGTCAGACTGAATGCCTGGATGGTCTTTGGAATTCTTTAATTCTTTAGTGGCAACTTTTATCTTACAGTGTAAGCAGGAGGACTCAGAACAGGAATAAGTAACACTGCCGTCTGTCTGTCTGTCTGTCTGTCTCCCGCACCCCCTCCGCCATTCCTTTTTTAGTACTGGGGATTGAACCCAGAGGCTCTCTACCACTGATCTACATCCTATTCCTTTTAATTGCCAAGGCTCACCTTGAACCTGTGATCCTCCTGCCTCAGCATCCTGAGTCACTGGGATTACCTGCTTTAATTTTTTATAGTACTTTAATATCCAGACTGTTTGTTCAAGGCAATAATTGTTTTCAACAAGAAACATACCAGAGTTGGCCTTTCTTCTATCCTGTCCTGCTCGGCTCCAGCCCAGGGTTCCCTGGGTCTCCTGCCTTCACCACCTCCAGAACAGCCTGCCAGGCCCTAGGCTCCCTGTGGAAACACTCCTCCATGGCCTAATCTCCCATGATCAATCTCCTTTTGGGCCTTGGCTGCTCAGCAGGTATCACTGAAAGAAAGAGGTCAATACAGCATAACCTGGAATCCCTTTGGGGAACTGGAGGTAAACTTATGGGCCATGCAACCTTGACTTGCTCTTTAAGCCACCTGTAGACCTTTACCCTAAACCTTCATATGTAAGACTCTCCTGGACCTCAGATACCTGCTGGAATCCTCAGCAGCCTCTTCTACCTTTGGCCCATTTCTCCCTGTTCCCCTTCCCTGTCCCTACTGGTCAGGGGATCATCTAGGTTGTTGGACTAGGGAGCTAGGAGTCTGGGGAAAGGAGGCCCCGATTCTATACAATTGCACATCCTTCCTGTATTGTCATCCTGAGTAGGAAAGAAAAGGCCTGGATTTGGTTCTGGTTCTGCCAGTACGTTCTCTGGCCCTCCGTTCAGTCATAAATAAAGTCAAGAATTGAACTATGTAACACTGAATGCTCCTTCTGGCTCCAACTGTTCTTTGATTGTGCTGATACAATCTTCTTGAAGACATGGGGCAATTTTGAGGCTCAGTGAACAAGTATTTGCACAATGCTTTGAGTTGCTAAAATGAATGTTATAATACAACTGTGGGATGAGCAGAATTTGAGTGTATTTGTATTTCCAAGCATCTGTATTATGCCTGCATGGTTAAGGTCAGAGAAAGTGAAGACATATCCCTTCACTGACTATTGCTTTCCGAATGAATGAGACACTTGCAGGGCAATCCTTTTAAACATGTCATAAAATTAACCATGGGAAGAGATAATGTTACAAATATCTTTAAGCACTTCACGCGTCCACACCCACAGCTACACTTTGCAAGGCAATATTAGGTATCATCAGGCATTAAAAATGTTTTGATTTTAAAACACTTAATGAGGATTCCCAGATAAATTAAAACATCTCCATCTGCTGTCTTGCATAGTAGGTGATATTTTACCATTGCAGAATCATCTGTAAATCTAATTCCACCAGGAAGGCTTCTAATCACAGTTTAATTTTAGAGCAATATTCCACTTGGCAATCAATAAGGCACTGTCGTCAAACTTTGATTTAATAGGAGACGTGGATAACATTTTCCACATTATGTAGTGAGAAATACTTTCAGGAAAGGGAGAGAAGAAAAGAAAGTCTTTGTCCCTCACTTCCCGCTGCCACATACCATTGTGGCTCACAAACGCTTATAAATCAATGCCCCCATGGTGTGTGAATATAAATCTCATCAATTTTACATCATTAGCACCATGAAAAAGCTACTGCTCTTGGAGCAGTTTTCCTCTACCAGCTAAATATGTCCTCTGGATTAAAACAATAAGCAGATCCTAACAAAACACTTCCTCCTTCAACAGCTTTGTTTGTATCAAAGTTTATTAGAATTGCACACTCATCTTATCATCACTTGAGAGACTAGGGTGACAGTACCTACCCTCTAAGAGTGATGTCTAGTGGGCAACCCAGTGTATGTGTTGTAGGGGACAGACAAGGCAGGGCACCGAAGATAGCAGGAAACAGTTTTATTTGGCTGCAGCCAAGTTCAGAGGGCATAGCTTTCACTGTAATCAATTAATTTCCTGAACCCCAAGTTCAGGTAGTTTCAGAACTTTATACCCAGCATATAAGGAGAAGGGCTCAGAAGTTCAGTCTGCAGAAGTTCACATAAAAGCAGCTTTTTCTTTCACTGTTCTGGGCAAGTTAACCCTTCAACACCTGAGAAGGGGAGAGCTTCTCCCCTTTCTTTCCTCCCCCTGCCAGCTGTTACCATGGAGCCCAATTGGAACTTCTCTTAGAAATGTAGACATCTCTGTAAAGCCCAGCTCAAGGCCAGAGGGCCTTGTTAAAGGATTTGTCTTTTTTTAAAACACATTTTGCATTTGCAAACATACTTCTACAAACTACTATACTGTATAAATGTTTGTGGAAAAACTAGTAAAGGAGCGTTCAGCACCTAGAGTGCTGATTTCTTCCAGGCCACTGGCCAAGTAAAATAGAGCAACAGGAAAAGAGTAAGTTTACCTACATTGAACTCTTTTGTAGAGACTTTTTTGATGATAGTCCTCAAATCAATTATGGCAAAGATTTCTGGAGAAGCTTAGTTAAGATTTTCTGTGGAGAAAGGGGTGCCACTACATATGAAGTCAGTCAAAGGGTTCTAAGAATAGTGGGTGAGGTGAAAAACATTCAGGTCCTGAACAGTTAAGGCAAAGGCAGGCACTTCTGCTACAGCAGATGGCCCATGTGGTCCGAAGCCCACTAAGATTGCAATGTATGGGGGAATAGACATTTGGGAAGGTCTGTGGTCTAAGTCTAAGGAGTTGACCATCAAGAGAGGCAGAACCCCTACACCCAGAAGCTGTCTTTAAGGAAAGAGCTCCTAATAGCTTAAAGGATATGGGGAGATGAAACAGGACCTACAGAATCTTTCCTGTCTCCTCTGGTGGTTCCCAGTGTTTTCATAACTAACTTCCTTAGGGTTACATTTCTCCCTCCCTTGTAGAATTCAGTAATGGGAAAGATTTTGTTCTCCAGAAAACTGCATTTACTTTAAATAGTCCTACTTCGACTATTTAAGCTATAACTTTGCAAACTTGACCTGAGAAATATAACAACAATAAGGAGATATAATTCCAGATACACTTGTTTTTATTTGCATGTACAAAGAAATCTGTAGCCTTATTAGGAATCATTATAAATTTCTGTTCATCCTTTTGAGTTTCTGAAATTTGCTTGGGGGTTCTTTTTATTGCCTTTAATAAGCCCTGTTGATTGAGAGCTTTGGGATAGGAGCCTTTGATGTGATGTACACTTCTCATTTGCTCAAGGAATTAAACTCAGGTCCAGAGAGGGAGAGTCAGTGCTTTGTGATCATTCAAGCCTCTTGATATCCAATATAATGAAAAGGCCCTTCATAGGGGTTTTACCATGCTACAAGCCTCCAAAAGCATCTCTAAGCTTTTATATGGTACTATTTAATGAAGATTGCTCTAAAAGATTTAATCTAGGAAAATAACCATAAAGATTACCATCACCTAACAGGATGGTGGACATTGTTTGTTGAGGCTCAAGTAATAAAGTCAGGAAGGTCAATTTCAAAAGAATTTCAAATTATTGATCGTCAATCCCAGTTTACTTTAGTTCCACAACTATGGGCCAGATACGGCAAGGTGCTAGCATGACACATATCAGGAAGACAGAGTCTGCTGGGACAGACAGACAAAGAGTCATGGGAGCAAGATGATCCAAAAAATCAGGAAACCCAGGGGTTCCTGTGTGAGGAATCCATCAAGAGTTTCAGCCTCCCTGAAGTTCTGTGAAAACACAAGAGATGGAGGGAGTTATCCTGCTGGGGAGAGAAGGCTCGCCTTGTTTAGGGATGTTTCATAGATGTGGTACAATTTTAAGTGGCCATTGAAAGAGAATGAGGACTTGGGTAGGTAGGTAAAAGAAATTTGCAAAGATCAACCTATACACAACCCTACCTCTACTCCAAATGGTGACTTTGGATAAAGTAGAGAAAATCATCTACTCCTCAACAGTATATCACCAACATCCAGGAAAGTGCCATAGCCATGCAAAGCTACTGCTACGAATATTAATGGTACCCCCGGGATCGTTCAGGTACATCCTCTGCCACACCATGCAGAAACCAAGGTTGGCAAGTGTTAACCACCAAACTGAAGGTCTGACTGGGCTGCATTGCAAAGACAGCTCAGCAGAGGCATAGCCACTGAATTAGACAGGGTGACATCACCCCCATAGATGCTCATTCAGCACATGCACATTCCTGCTTCTCTCTCTGGTCACAACATTGAGACCATGGAGGAGGACCTCCATCGCCCAAGGATAGACAGGTCTTTTTCCTTCTGTCTGGACCACACAGCTTTTCCAAAGCCCTCTGGGCCTGCTCACACCTAGCTGAAGCGCCTCTTACCAATCAACAACTTGAAGGGAAATTTCCCTGAAATGTGGTCTTTGTTTTGTTTCTGATAGGCCCTTCAGCATCATCATGCTGTTCATGAAATTTCCTACATCGCAAAGGACATCACAGACCACCGGGCCTTTGGATACGTTTGTGGAAAGGAAGGGAATCACAGATTTGTGGCCATAAAAACAGCCCAGGCGGTAAGTATAGCTGTCCCAGCCCAGTGACCTTCTTGGCAGCTCTGGGGGACCACAGCATCACCCTATTGCTTTTCTAAAATCTACTCTGCTGTGTGACCAAGTGATGAGTCACCACCAGAAGCTGATCCTCAGATGCCCCCCTAGAAGAATAGCTTTGGAGCAAGAACCCTCACTCATACCCATTCAGTTATTTTATTTTATTTTTTTCCTAATGGGTATTTCCTAATGACTAATTATTTTCCTTTCTGATTAAGCTAGGTAGAGGCATGCATATAAGTAAGCTTGCTTGTGTTCATAGCCTATTTTATAAAGAAAATAAGAGAAAACAAATAACTGTTTTGCATAAGGTCTGCCCTAATTTTATTATATTCGAATTCACTAATAAATAAAAGCAGTGCCTTTTATGCTTATGATTATTATGAATTTGCAAATATAATGAGCTGAAGAAATGAACTTTAGCCTATGTGCAATTTGCTAAACCAATATAAACAAGGTAGAATTAATTAAAAATGGAATGCTTTCAGTTTAATAGAAAAATGAAGCGCTGCGGGTCGTAGCCACAAAACAAAAATTGGTGGCTTGCAGCTCAGTATGGATCCCTTGTTAACGTGCTTACCACTTTCACTCCAGGCTGAACCTGTTATTCTGGACTTGAGAGATCTCTTTCAACTCATTTACGAATTGAAGCAAAGAGAAGAATTGGAAAAGAAGGCACAAAAAGATAAGCAGTGTGAGCAAGCCGTGTACCAGGTACACCTATGAGTTTGTCCTGATGCTGGAGAAGATTGGGGCTTAAAATAAACAGAAGTGAAAACTGACAGCCAGGCCTTCTGCTGCTGCCAAGCAGAAATAAACAAAGATGAAAGGTTCCTGCGTAAATTACAGTCACCCAATGCCAGCCGATAGAAATGTTCCATTATTCTCTGAAACTCAAGATGTGTTAGAGAAAGTGAAATCTTTAATCCAGAGGAGGATTTCAGGGGGAAGAGGACTAAAGACCCACAGTTGCTTTTACTATTTGTTGTTAAAGAAGGGGGTGGGGTGGGGTGGGGAGGGGGCTTTGGAGTTCTGCCGTTTTTTCTGTGTTTTCTACATTAATGATCCACCAGTGTATCCTACCCAGAGCTGGTTTCTCTGCTGTCCTGTAATTTCTGAATACAATCTCACGTCTTTTTCTTTATGCCCTCTGCTTTTTGCCCTCCTTCCCCTCACTGTGATAGACAATTTTGGAAGAGGATGTTGAAGATCCTGTGTACCAGGTAAATTCTGCTACGAGTCGGAGTTTTAGGTTCTACAGGGGCTTTGCCTGTGGTGCAGCCACTTTGTCAGAAACTTGAATGCACTGACTGTCGAACCTGGAGAGGGACCAAGATTATTTCTGAGGGCAAGGGCTGCCAGCCCCTCCAGGAGGAAATTCCCATAAATCCTAGCAGAAGTTTGGCCAGCCCCAGGATCATGGGATTTGGAGATACGCTCCTCCCTCTTCCCCCTGCCTCAGCCCCCTCCACAATCTGTAAGAGTTTGATCCCAAAGCTGGAATGTTTTTAAGAATCTGTTGAATATTCTAAGTGCTTTAGAGAGAAAGTGAATAATGAGGTAGTTTTCTGAGTCGAGAATTAGAGAGGGGGACTGATGTTTGGGTGACATTTGAGCACCAACCCAGAAAATGGTTTGTGAATTGTAGCAATTATAAAGAGAAGTGTTTCTGACCCCGCAGTGGGGCAGCCTGGGCCTCTGATCACCTTGCTCATGTCACAGGGGCTGTCGTGAGGACAGCGAGAGAGATGCCAGAGACGTCTCTGCCTGGAGCTTCCTCTGCACCCTCTTCATGGTCTGCAGCCCAGGGGTGGGTAGAGATGACCTCTCTTGGGTTCATGTCTGAGCTCTATGCAAACAGAGATGCAGTAAAAAAGGGAATAGGTGGCTTCTTCCTCCATTAAGTTTATTCCTAAATCGAGAAAGAAGATTAAAAAAAAAACTGACTTTTGAAACATAAACTCCAATTTGCATTTCTAACTGGGATACAGAGGTTTATGTAGGTGCATATTGCATATGCTTGGTATATTGATGCATATTTTCATACAGAAAGCTGGTACTGCTATGATGAAAGTAAAATAATACTGATAACTTGAGTCAGGAAAAGTTCCTAGTATATATATGACAAGCAAAAGTTAAAGGGGCACTTAATCACATGCCCTTGCTTTTAACTGCTGAGGAGAGGAGTTGTTTATAATGTGAGCTTTAGCCTCTGTTTACAAAGAATGAAGAAGAGGATTCTCTTTGAAATGTCCTGATCCTTTAGAATCTAAAACATGTGCATGAAAAAAATTGATGTTCAGTGTTTAAAACTGAGAATGTAGAACATGGTGATAGTTATAAGAAAAGGGAGTCTGGGGCTTCTGAGCTCTTCAGAGTTTGACCAAAGACCTTGGGTGTCCAGTGAGCAATGGAAGGCGACTCAACCATAACAAGATTTGCAAAGTCAGGGTCTTAGGCATTCCCATTAGATAGCAGTGCCAGTGTATTCAGCTAATACTGAGTCCAAGGCCATTGGACAAAGAGGTTGCATCTTCAGGGGCCCAGAGCTATCATTGCTGAAGGACTGATCAGCAGATCTGCACGGTTTTCCTTTAAAAAGTCCAGAATGCACAAGACCATTTTATTTCAGTAACCCAAAATGTTTCTTCAAGGTGTTTTCTCTTGTGCCTGTTTCTTGAATGCTTACTGTGATTTGTATCTTGAATTCCAAATGCTTTTTTTTCCCCTCTTTCTTTTTCACCTCTGACCTTTCCTCTCTGGCGGCTCCTGTAATAGTACATTGTGTTTGAGGCTGGACACGAGCCAATCCGTGATCCCGAAACAGAAGAAAACATTTACCAGGTATCAGATTGCTTGCCTCTTACCATTGCACCACTAGGAAATGCATGAAGCACTGAGGGGTCTCAGTGAGAGCCTAGGGGTCTCTTGGTCATTCCAGACTTGTTGAAATACCTTTGAGTGAATTGGCTTCTAGTTCCCCAGCAATTTACCTGCGGTTTTCATGCCTTGTTTTTGAAATGTTGAATGGACAGTTGGGTACAGTGTTATAGTATTGAACAGTCGTAACCATTTTTTAATTGAAGCAAAAATGCAACATTTCATTGTATTAAAGTGGGCAGATTGTCCTCATCATATAGTAAGAGGGTTCTTGGCTTCTCAAAAGAAAGCTCTCATCAAATATCTTTTTTAAAAAAATCTATTTTTATTTGACTTGGGAGGCAGGCTACTAGAGATTTAACTAAGGGGAACTTGACCACTGAACCACATCTCCAGCCCTATTTTGTATTTTTATCTAGAGACAGGGTCTCTCTGAGTTGCTTAGGGACTCACTAAGTTGCTGAGGCTGGCTTTGAACTCGAGATCCTCCTGCCTCAGCCTCTCCAGCTGCTGGGATTACAGGTTTGCACAGCCGCGCCCAGCTCCTCATCAGATATCTTTAAAAAGCTAACTCCAGTACTAAAAATAAGCAGTAGGTTCAAAATTACTATCTGAAAACAACACATGGAGTACTAACCAAATAAAAGAAGGTCCAGCTAACAGTTTTATCCCCCCTGAAGGAAGGGAAAATTAAATTCTCAAATATTTGCTCTGTGGAGAATGCCAAACACTTTTTTAAACTCATTGAATTCTCAAGAATATGCTACAGAGCAGGTATTTTAATCTCATTTTCAGAGGGAGAAACTGAGGCTCAGAAAAGCTGAGCCACTTCCTCCCAGTTATTCAACTACTCACAGCCGAGATCTGAAGCCAGGCATGCGCAGAGACAGAGCTTAGGCTTCTCCCTCGCTTTCCCTCAAAGCTGCTATTTGAGTAATTGCAACACGGCACGGCGGCACGTCAAATAAATACGGCGGTCTGCAATTTTTCACTAATTAGAATTTTAGTCCTAATTTAAAACATAAATACTATGGGAGAGGGAAAAATTTAATGTATTTAATCATTGATTTTAATTTCCTTAACTTACTTAGTTGTGTGGTCTGCTATTCTGCCTTGGGCGTGTATTACTTGCATAATAAAAGTAAAACATATTTTCAATTTCAGTCAAATGCGTAGAATCCTAAATGACCAAATATAATGTTATTTCTACCAGTCGCTCTGTTTAAACAAGCCTTGTGGAATAATAATCTGTTTCTTTCCACTGGATTCATCTGGATTCTGTTCAAGTGTGAGGTTATGCTTTGAGGTTTTGTTTAAAGTCATAATTTATAAAGTTTCTATCTTTAAAAAGAAAAACTGCAATTGTCCCCAGTGTCACATTTTAAAGTACTGTGCAACCTTGCAGTGTCTGAATGTGAGGCCAAAGGAGTCATTAGCTAGTCATCCCAGGAAGAGAGAGCACCTTTAAAATAAAGCAGGCTTTGCAGTAGGTTTCTTTCTTTCTTTCTTTCTTTCTTTTTTATTTTGGTACTAGGTATTGAACCCAAAGGCACTTAACCACTGAGCCTCATCCCCAGCCCAGTTTTATTTTTTATTTTGAGACAATTCTCACTAAGTTGCCTCAAGCCTCACCAAGGTGCTGAAGCTGGCTTTGAACTCACTATCCTCCTGTGTTAACCTCCCACACCACTGGGATTACAGGCATGCACCACCTTGTCTGGTTTGCAGTAGGTTTCTGAATCCAGACTTGGCCCTGTTTGGGGAGTCTCCGAGAGCCTTGCAGGGCAAGTGCTAGGAGAGGAGATTATCCTAGTGTGCTGGAAAAAGCTGGATTAGGCTGGTGTAGAGCTGCAGTGCAGTCCTGGCTCTGTCACTAGCTATCTTTGATGTGTGACAGTGTGCGAGATATTGCCCTCTCAGAGACTAAGTTTCCCCATTAACAAAGCAGGGGAATGATTTCTCCCAGACTCACATGGACACATGAGAATGAAGCAAGCCATTCTAACCCCAAGTGTAGAATGTTAAGGAAGAAACCCCCACCTGGTCACAGAACGTGGGTCTGGTTGTGTGGCTTCAGGGTCTTGGTACACACGTCAGCTCAGCCACTGACTCAACTAGCCAAATTCCTTACCCTCTCTGGATCTCAGTTTACTCATCTGGAAAATGAGCATGTAAGGCTCAATCTCTAGGGGAAAGCCCTTTTCTTCCCTTTGCAACTAACACCTCACCATAGGACACTGATGTTGGGGGCGGGGCAAATCTTAGTTTACTTAACAGGGCAGCAGGACTCTTAGAAATGGGGTACTCATGTGTATGAACAGTGAGCTGGCTCTCTGAATGGGGTTTATATGCAGCATCTTATTAGCTTTCATAATACCCCCTGTGGCTTGAATGGGGACATTTCCTGACCTTACAAAGGAAGTGAAGTTGACAGAGATAAGGGACCTGCTAGGTCACAGAGTTAGTGAGAGGTTGAATCCCTAGAGGCAGATCTCTCTGACCTCTGTAAATAAATAAATGCTGGGGCTCTTTTCAGCTCAGAATTCCCTGATTCTGAGTTCCATACTTGGATTCTGTGCATGCTTCAAGTCACTATCTAAAAATCACACTTGTCTTAGCAGCTCTGGCCTCTGATCTCCCATCTGTCCATCATTAACAGAAAAGCACCATTTAAGGGAATGAATATTTTATTCCCATCTATTGGAAAGGCCCCTGGTCATTTTCTTCTCTTGCACTGCCAGTCTGCCTGAACCCAACGCACTTAACAAGAGATAAGCTGGGCTCTTAAGTCGCAGCTATTAGGAGCCTCATTCTTTTTTTCTTAAGCATTTGCAAGGGCACACGGCTATTCCTCCCGAGTCCTTTGCAGTGTTTGTTCTACTTCAAGCATGGCTGGCAGTGATCTTAGGTTTTATTTCCTTCCCAGTCTTCTGAAATCAGGCAAACAGGCCTGGGACCTCATCCCCTTTACCTGTTTTGTGACCTTGAGTGAAGTACATAATTTTTGTATCTCAATTTCCTGGGCTATAAAATAGGGATAATGCATTCTCTGCTTTCAGAAATGATGTAGAAATGCAAAGGGAAGAGATGAGCCCTGGGTCCACAGTAGCCCCCATGTGAACGATGCTCCCTTCATTTCCCAGGGTTGTCAATCCCAGATGCTGTTGATGATGTCTTATGATGATATATTAAGTGCAGTAGAACTTACATGCTCACCTTCTCTTGTCAGAAAGCCTAGCAGAACACAGCTCCTTCTCTTGACTTTGCTATTTGTATGCAACAGGAGGAAGGGTGAGGTTCTGGGGTTAAATGTGACCTCTTTCCAAAGATCAGGAGTCTTATCTTCCCAACCATATTAGTAATTATAATTGTCTTTTGCTTCTGTGCCTCAGAAAAATTAACCAGTTGTTTTTACAGTGACCCAGAGCTTATGATAAACAGAGTGGTTGGTAGAAATAACATTATATTTGATCATTTAGGATTCTATACATTTGATTGAAATTGAAAATATTTACTTTTATTATACAAAGCACCCTCCACACCTCTTAATTTCAGCTCTTCCACTGACTCGATGAGATAGGAAGAACAGCTACCATGACTGTCATTTTCAACCTAAGAAAAACCATTCCACCAAGATTAGGATCTCCAATTCTAAGTACCTGTTCTTGAGTACCTTAGCAAACTGCCTACATAAGCAAGATCTTCCTACTTATAATTTGAGATCAATGAATTTTTCAAGTTCATTTATTCAGAAATCATTGTTAATCACTACACATGTGTCAAGTTTCATCATTTTAAAATGGCCAGGCTCTGGTCTTATGTCACCCAATACATGTTGAACTGCCTCGCCATGCTTATTAATGAACACATTGCAGAAGTAAAAGTATCCTCTGTGTACAGTACTTAATATGTAGTTTTTAGAGTAATTTAACATCAATGAACTCATTCATTCAGAATAGTATTTATGGGCACCTAGCATGTGCCAGGCCCCTGATGAAGAAATAGTGACCACAGCATGGTTTCTATCCTAAAGGGGTTTATTGATAAAGCTTAGATGCTCTTGAGAACCAGATAAGGAAACACAGAGGTTCAGAGAGAGAAGTGATCTGAGTCGAATAGCCTGTAGCACAGACAGGATTAGAAACCAGATCATTTTGTCCCTTCTGCCACATTTTGATACCACAGTGGTCTGTATAGATAGAATGGAGATGAGAGCCAGGACCACAGACCTTGGCACCCATGCAATCCATCCTGCATGATTAGATGGTTCTTTGTTTAGCCGATATTTGCAGATAGGAATACAAGGAAAATAAAGTATCCACCCTGCCCTGAGCAGCTTACAGAGTTGTGGGATCACAGAACCAGGAACAGTTGCAGTGTGATATAATAACTTCCCTGAAAAAGATTAAGCATATTTTACATTCACTCTACATTAGTAGACTGATAACTGTTCCATCTCCCCAAACAAGACAAGGACCTTCACTAAATCAAATCAAGGCTCACATCCGTCTTGTTCACTGTCCTTCTCCCAGGAAAGGCACAGCACATGATACATAACAGATTCTTGGTAGCTCTTATTTTTTTAATGAGAGGATGCACCTGAGCTTACAAAAGTACAGAACAGGGCTGCAAACCAGGCCTAGGGAGGGCAGGAAAGTCTTCTGAGATGTCCCAGCTGAGATAAATCTTAAAGGACAAACAGGCAGATTGATATCTCACCCATGGGAGAGCCAAGTAGGAAAGCTTTTTCAATTATGCACAGTTTGGGTTTATCCATCGCATGGCTTCTTCTCCATTTGCAGGGATAATTGAGAGGCAGCCGCGGTTCAACTGTGCTAAGTGCCCGTAGTGAGCAGTGAATTACGGGGAACAGAATGCTGTTCATTTTGCTCAGTAAAGGGTGAGCTAGTGAAAACAAAAGTGAGGGCTGGTAATTTATTGGCCCTCATTTGCAAGGACTCCATAGACATTCTGAGAGGATTCCTTTTCAATGGAGCCCAGTTATTGGGAGAAAAAAAAAATTACATTCTTTGTTGGTTCCCTGCAAACTGAGGTTAGCCAAAGTGCCTCTGGAAGGGTATCTTCCTCACAGCCATGCTCACTCAACAGTTCTGTTTTCTGCAAGAATGCACATGAACCTCTGGGAACTTAGGATGTGATATCAAACACACACACACACACACACACACACACACACACACTGTATACTGCAGCAAGCAAAAGTAAACTCCCCAGGCTCCAGCTCCTAGCTTCCTCTGACAGTGACCACTGGACTCTCTCTCAGCCTCGTTTTCCACTTCTGCATCACCAGGACAGTTGGAGTCCTGATAGACTTGACCAGCGCTTTCCTTGAGAATGTGTGTAAAACACAAATGCTTAGAACAGTGCCCAGCACACAAAAAGTGCCCAGGCTATGTTAGTGCATACTATTAAGGTCTTGCCAGACATGATAACTCATGCCTGCAATCCCAGAAGCTCAGGAGGCTGAGACAGGAGAATTGGGAGTTCAAAGCCAACCTCAGCAGCTTAATGAAAAACCCTGTCTCAAAATAAATAAGGGCTGTGGATGTGGCTCAGATAAAAGTGCCCCTGGGTTCAATCCCTGGTACCAGGGGAAAAAAAGAAAGAAAGAAAAAGGGAGGGAGGGAGGAAGGAAGGAAGGAAGGAAGGGTCTTAGTCAGCAAGGGCTAGGTTTGAGTTTGAACCCCACCAGGCTTTGAAGCTTTGGGCAAAATCCCTAACATCTCTAAGCCTCACTTTCTATAATTTTAAAGAGAGATGATAAGACCAATTTCTTGGGCCTATTATAAGAATTTTAAGTTAAACGAGAATGAAAATGACCAAGGAACTGGAAAGTATAAGCTCATGTTCTCTTACATGAGTATGGTTAACAGGTCCATGCCTGGCAAATACCTTTCCTTTCTTCACTCTCTCCCACTTCCTTTGGTATATTGACACAGCTGATGATTACAGAGTGCCTATTGGGGATGAGACTACAAGGCTGCTCTTGATGAGCCTCAGGCTGGTTAAAAAAGACACACAATCAGACCATTAGAAATCCACTGCTGCTTGGTCCCTGAAGGGGAGGCTAAGCTCTGGCAGTTGCTGGGGAAGAAACAGCTAATGGTTGCTTCCAACCTGGAATGTATCCATTCAAAGTCCTTGATTGGAAAAGTATTGGACACATTATTGTTAATGTCATAAAATATGCTCATACATACAGAATGTATGAGTGCAAAAGAAATGGTCATGCTAACACATTACAGTGTCATGGTGCCTAATAGTTTTTATTTATCGAAGATCCATTTTCTCATTTGATCCTTATAATAACCTGAGCATGAGGCAGAGCTGATAGGGCCCATTTGATAACAGTGAACTCAGAGGAGCTAAATGACCTGCTCAGGGTATTATGCTTAATACATGTGGCCCAAGAAGACCAGATGGATGAGCAAGGGAGGGAGGGAGGAAGATACAGGCAAATGTTAAAAGCCAATCAGGATCTTCTGGATCCTAGAGCCATGGTTTCTGTGCCATGTGGGGCCTTTTCCTGAATGAAGCCTTCGGTGATTATCAGATGGTTTGTACATGATCCCCAAAGAAGCTCTATCTGTGCTAGGATCCTGGTATCAACAGTATTTTTACAGCCTGGATCTTAGTCTTAGCATTGAACAGTGTAAACTCAGCTATAAACTGTTTTTAATCACTTCAGGCAAATTATGTCACCTCCCTGGGCCTAGTTTTTGTCTTCAGTGAAATGAGGATTATTTTTTCCTGACGTCCTGCGGCTTCCAGTTCTGTAATTCTGTGGGAAGCCCCAGAGCAGAGTTGCCCTGCCAACACTCCTTCCTGACCCCCTTCCCTCCAGCTGGTTTTCCTTGGGGAAGAGCCTGGCTTGAGGCTTTCACAGCTAGTCCCTTGGGGTTGGGGCCATCTCACACATACTTAGCCAGCTTGCAGTTGAAGTCTGGCTGCTTTGTTCTGTGAAAAAGGAATACCAGAGTGTTTTGATTATGTTGAATTTGATTTTTCTATAGGTTCCCACCAGCCAAAAGAAGGAAGGTGTTTATGATGTGCCAAAAAGTCAACCTGTAAGTGTAAGTACATCCTCCCTCTGTTGCTGGATTGGTACCCACACTGTGCCTGCGGCCTGTGGAGGGCACTCTTCTTCTGGAATGAGTATGGCAGCCCAGGTGGCTTTGCTGCCAACTCCTCCATGGGGCCTGGGGAAAAAGGCATGAGGCAGGAATGGGAGGGGTGAAGGGGGTGGGGGTGAGTCGGGATAAGACCTGGTCCTGTGTGTATGGGAGTGGGTCAAACCATGCAAACCACCCTGCCCAAGGAACTCAGGGTTTCAGCTGCTCCTTGACTCCAGACAAGGCTTTACTATACTTGGTCAAGATAGAGGACAGTGTCATTGATTGATGATTGATTGATTGAGGAGACTTGCCCATTCCAACTTGAAAGTGGTGAAGTTTCGGAAGGACTGTAATAGGAGAAGGGTTGGCAGGGCCTTCGGGGTATGTAAGGGTCCAGTTGTGAGCAAGACATTGTTGGAAAAGATCATGTGTCATGTGTAGCAGGATTGCAGAGAACCCAAGAGGCACACCACGTTAAGGATAGTGGTGTCCTGTGTATCTCAACCCTGTGGGACTCCTGGGAACCTGAGCCAGGAAGGAAAACCCCCAGATCTTCAATATCTAAAGCCACTGCTACTTCTAGGATTTATATTGAGAACCTCAAACTGCCACTCAGAAGGTAACCTCTATAGTGATTCAGGCAACACTAGGGAGCCAATGAAGGTTTTTCAGTAGGGGTACTTGTGATTTTGCCACAATCTATATTAAAAAAAAAAAGACAACTAGGGTATTTCATCACTATCGATCTCCCTCATCTCACACATACTTAAGAATCCCAGCTCTTACCCTAACAGAGCTTCTGTGAAGCTAAAATGATTGTATCTAGAGCATTGTTATGAGTTCTGTATCTCCTGCTATGAGAGAAATAAATGCATACTCTCATGTTTCAAGATAAGGTTAATTAGGGGATCTGAAACCCCATTTCATTAGGAGCAATGAAGGACCCTGTCATGAGCAATCTATGTTGTTAACATAGACAAACATGTTTGTGTCTTTCCACAATGTCAGAACTTATTGAATAGCAACAAATCCACAGGCTACACCACTTTCAGAGGTAGCAGTAAGTACTCACCAGTCACCTAATAATTCTAAGCCAGGCAATCACCAGTTCTTTTATTCCAATTGTAACTGCTGATATCTGTAACACTCAACACACATCACATGTTACATGTGTTACAGAAAGGCTAAGAAAGGGGCAAGGGAGCTGCAGGTATTCAGGTGGCTGACCTGAAAGCACGGGTGGACAGCAGATAGGAATATCAAGAGTCACTGAAAGTGGTCACATAAAATTATGAACCAGGCTGACGAACTTGTTCAGGGAACAGAGCTGTCAAAGCACAGGAACTTATTCTAGGCCAAGGTCCAGATGGACATCAGTCTCTGAGAGGGTCATCTTGGAGTGGCCATGCACTGTTGTCATCATGGACAAGAGAAACTGCGCTGTGCTGAAGCCCAAGGACAAAGATGGCAAAGTTTGTCACTGTGGTGATTTTCCTGGGCAAGACTCATGATCAGTGACTGGGTGATAGGGTCAGGGTGCTGTTGTAGCCAGTCTCAGATGCTCCCCGTTTTATGGACGTCTAGTGAGGGGTTTGCCTCATTTGGTGGTCTGGTGTGTTCAATAAGCTCATGGGTCTGGTTTTTCTGATATGAGTCTGATACACCCCTGCATATCCATGTGCTTTCGATTGATTCATTAATTTCACAGGTGGTCATTTTTATTGGCACAATTAATTTCTCAGTTTGTGCCTTATGGTTGTGCTAGGCAGATGGTGGTTTTTCACTTGTACAAATAAGGTGTAGAGCCGTTCTACTTCAGCACTTAAACCCAAAATGGAGTAGCTCATAAAAGGAGTAGCTAATTATAAAATGAAATAACTCAGGGTTAGTTATAGCCTGAAAACTGCTGTTCTGTACACCATGGAATAACTGAAAGCAGGTGACAGCCTGTTCTCCACAAACCACAAAATGTACAGCCTGGAGAAAAGGAACCACAGACATGGAAAGGGACGCCCAGGGGTCACAGCCTGGTAGAGGGCCATCCTGCCACTGTGGAGGCCACATCATGGAACTAGAAGCAGTGGGTGGCAGAACAAGAAAGCCAATTGTAGCTGAAAGCACAGGTGGCCTTCCTGACAAGCAGAGCTATCCCAGGAGGGGAATTCTGGCACCTGAGAGTGCAAGGTCTCCATCCCTGGACCTAAGCAAGCAGAGCTGAAGACCACATTTTGGACAGAAGTTCCAACATTGAATGAATGGATGGGCAGGAGGCACCCTTGGCATCCCTTCCAAACCTGAAACTCTGCCTCTGTGAGCCAGGAGTCTTTCTGCTCACGCTCCGGGCACGCTTGTCCCTTTTTGCAATGCACCCACCTGAGTTGAGGGACTCTGGTCCGTGTGGTGTTGCTCACAGACTTCCAATCTCCTTAGGCCCCTGTCCCTGAGCACCCCTGCTCTTTGCATTTCTGTTTCCTCCTGCCCTTATTACCCAGCTGCCTCCCATTCAGTCTGTGCCCCTGACAGGTTTAGGTACATGAGGAAATGTGCTCCTTTTCCCACCTTGATTTTGTGAACTTATTAACCATTCAGACCCATCATCTTTGTGCTTTCAAAAAACCAAAGTCCAAGCTCCATGTCCTTACAGATGCAGGCTGTCCCAAGTCCCCTAGCCCTGCTGAACCCTCATTTTCTGGGGAGTCACACCTGATCTGTACCCTACAGGCCTCCACCAACATGGGCTTCAAGCTCTGTGTTCTCCAGAGCTTTTTGGACTTCTGCTCTGAGCAGCATCAGCTGATCACCCCTGCCCTGTGCCTCCCAGACCTGTCATTCCTCTCTCAATGGCTCCTCTTCTTCCCTGTCACCCACATGAACTTCCTGGGGACCTGCATCACCAGAAGTAAGCCCTGGTGGGTGGAGGCCACACACCCTGCAATTATGGAATATTTAATTAATAGATGGATGACTTATTCTGTAGAAAGCATTTGTGAAAAATCTCTGGTCCTTTCTTTTGAAGGGAATCGCCTGTATTTCTGACTCCAAAAACTGCACTTAACTAAAGGTACTAGAAGTTTGCTTGGGATGTTTCTGGGCTGCATGAGTGACCTATAATGGCCCTCACTTGCTCTTTCCATAGAATCTCCATCTCCTCTAATATGATGACAACTTTCCACAGCTATTTTCCATAGACTTCATCCCTAAAAGCCTAACAGAGGCAGGAGGTAAAAGCTCATAGAGACAGGTGGGACCTGTTGAATGTGAGCTCCCCTCTTATTTCCTGTGGGATTTTGGTACATTTTCTTATCCTTGCATCCCAGGATCCTCACTTACCAAAAGGGGAATTGAACCTAACTTGATGAGAAAACAGTATGTGTGTTGGAAAGTCAGTCCCACTCACCCAACTTCCCAGCAGCCCTCCAAGTCCCCGCCAAGTCCCTCCCTCCCTTGGGACCTTGCTGCCCTCTAGCTTCCCCCCTTGCCTCTCTGATGAGCACTCATTGTCTAGAGCAACTCGGTGCCCTGAAAACCCCTGCCATGATCTCACTGTCTAACCCTTTGTCACCTTCCCCTTAGCCAGGAAGACAACTAAGTCAGGGATGACCCAACCCACATGCTAAGCATCTCCCAGAGAGCTAATGCCTTCTGCAAGTTCCCCACAAGAAGGGAAACTGCCCAGTGGGCTGGGGCTCTAACTTCCACCTAGTGTCTCCTCCCTTGGATCCAGGTCTACAGAGAGCTCATGATTGGATCAGCCTGCAGCTCTCATGGGGGAAATCACCTACTAGTGCCAAAAGATGATGTCTACTCTTCAGAGCCACATGTGGGCATGACTATTTCCAGGACCACTTACTGGGGCTGTCTAAGTAGCTTTCTGCATCTCTGATCCTCTGTCATCATCTGTTAAAAGAAAGAAATACTCACCCTTTGCCTTTTTTGGATGTGAACTCGATTGGGAACATTTCTACGTATTGCTAGGACAAACCATGCTCCAGCAGACAGTTCTCAGGAAGCTGGCTTGTCAGCTGCTCCAAGTGAATGCACACCTCTGCTGGGAAGCCTTCCTTCCCCACGACAGGTCATCAGTCTTTCTGGGGTAGCCCCATACTTCTCTTTGCAACAATCACAATGGACCATCATTTTCTCTTAATGTATCCATGGAAACCACTGCACTTTGCTTTCCCCAAAAGCTTTGGCTAAATTCACATCTCCTGCAGTTCTGTCATCTCAGCAGCTGGCACACGGCCTGAACCTTATGAATTAGACTTTGAGGACTGAGGTTGTAACACATTCTTTGAGGCAGATCTGAGTTAAATCCGGCTTCCTGACCAGCTATGGCACCTTCAGTGAGTCCTTTGCTCTATTATGCTTCAGTCTTCTCACCTATAGAATGGTGAGAGGAAAACCAATTCATTGAGTTCTGCAATCACTCAGTATGCTTTAATGACTAACAAATATTTAATAAATGTTGTTGCATTGAATTACTTACTGAGATTTGGTCCCCTTCACTCCATCCCTCCTGCATCATCAGTCCATTGAGGACAGAAATCATGTCTGTTCTTATCAGTTTTTTCACTGCTGTGACTAAAAGACCCAACCAAAACAACTGCAGAGGAGGAAAAGTTTATTTAAGGGCTCACAGTTTCAGAGGTCTTAATCTACAGGCAGAAGCTCCATCCCTCAGGGCTTGAGGTGAGGCAGAACATCATGGTGGAAGACTGTGGTGGAGGGAAGCAGCTTATGTGATGATCAGGCAGCAGAGAGAGAGAGACTCTACCTGCCAGATTCAAATACATACCCCAAAGCCATGCCCCCCATGCCCACCTCCTCCAGCCATACCCTACTTGCCTTCAGTTAATCCCTTCAGGGAATAATTCGCTGATTGGATTAAGTCTCTCACAACCCAATCATTTCTTCTCTGAACCTTCTTGCATTGTCTCAGGCATAAGCTTTTGGGGGAC